GAAGCACAATGTTATAACCGACAACCCGTCGGCACTGAACCATCCACATCAGTATTTATGCCAATGCAGTGAACATGACTAAACGGAACGCATCAGCGAAATGCGTTCTCGCACCTGCAGTGTTAAGCAGTGTTCGCACTCCACTACCACCACTGCGCAGTGGTGAGCGGACATGAGATGAAGTCTGTTGGGCGATCGCTATTAATGCGACCTATGCTGCCTGACTTCAGATTGTTGACAAATGGTTTCAGCCTTAAATGACATCGCCAAGTGAAGGTAACAAACGGCACTTAAAATCACAAAGTAATTACGGGTGGAGGATTGTTAGAAATGGGCTCCAAACTCTCCACTGCCAAAGTCTGTGCCACGCTATTTTACTTAACTACCAGCGTATGAGCAACTCCACGTTGTAGTGCCTCGTCCCTGCCTTCGCAGTCCCTACCACCACTCCTCCCACGCTGAAGAGGCAAGCAAGGTAGACGCGTATGGGATAGTGTTGGCAGACTTCGTGTTTCGTTAACTCGCCTCACTGTTAGCGACTCCGTTGCATCTCTGCTGATAGCTACTGCGAATGCCTGTGCGAATGGCGCTTCACGATTGCACCCACCTGTCCACTACAGCAATGCCTTGTCCCACCACATTCCGTCTCGACAAACTACTATTCCATTTCGGGCCTGCTTTTCTCAGTGCTCTTTTCCCATCAGCTACTTCTCGCTTCTGCCTCAATGCACTGAGATGCAGGCATGTGGCTCTGCTGTCGAGTGACAATTTGTCTGCAGCTCTTTCGATGTAAGGTTGCAAAGGACATTTGTTAATGACGGTTGAAGTGAAGATGCCGACTGCAGAAACGCCTATCACCGCCCTTCATGTGAAGTGATTTGCCAACCCATCAGTGAGCGAATCAGTACTATTGCCATTTCCGTTGCCTTGATACCACATTATTGTTCCGCATTCGCTTGCATTCGTTCTTTTGTAAAGCCCGAGCACATGAATTGGGGACATCGTTGCAACAGACATCAAAGCTGATCGAACCGAATTACAGATGAGACAGCGGACAGAGGGGGCAATCACGAGGTGCACTGCTTTTTCTACTGCAAGTAAATGTCAGCAGGAGTGAGGCTATGAACAGGAGGTGGGTGGACGTGTGCAG